TTAGAAACTATTGACTCAGAACATCATGGTTGAGAACATTCAATGTTTTAGTCTTACAGAAAAATAAATATTATATGTAATTTTTATGTATTTATTTTTCTTATTTTATATTACATTTAATCACATATATCTTTATAGAGCATTACATTTCTTTTTCCAGCACAATTGTCATGCATATTAGTCAAGACAAAGACATTACTGTCATCATCATCACTACTTTGTCATTACATCAAGTAGCTTTTTTTTCTGTATTATTAATAATCTGTTTTTTTTTTAAACATTCAATCACTATATGTCATTTGACTTATAAAGAGAATTTATCTAATATAAAATACTTCTCAGACCAATCCAGTTGAGAATACTATAAATGTTATCATCAACAGGTAATAAACCATTTCTGTGTCCGACTAATGTTGTGCCTCTCTATTTTTTCTCCAGCTTTCCTTCTCTGTACTCTTCCCTTCTCCCTCCCCACCCCCACTCCACACTGTCTTATCCTTGTTAACTATTTTCACTGCTTTCATGTCTTCCAATATTTCAATCTCTACCATAGAGTGCAGAAGTGGAAACATATATTTCTTTCATAGCTTGGATTGCTTCACTCAGCAGTAAATCCTCCATATTCATCCACTTTCTATCAAATGCCAGAGTGCTGTTATTTTTTATGGCTGAATAGTATTCCATAGAGTATATGTGCCACACTTTTCCCATCCTTTCATCTGTTTGTGGATATTTGGGTTGATTCCATGTCTCAACAATCATGAATAATGTTTCCATAAACATTGATGTGCAAGTGCTTTGCCAACTGAGCATTGCCCTGTCCATTGGGTAGATACTCAGAAGTGGGATTGCTGGATCATATGGTAGTTCTATTTGTAGGTCTTTGAGGCACCTCCATATTGTTCTCTACAGTGGCTGGACCAATTTACATTCCCACCAACAGTGTAGGAGAGTTCCCCTTTCAGTACAACCCCGCCAACTTTTATCGTTTTTTGTATTTTTTTTTTTTGAGAGGTTTTTTCGCTATAGGGTGCGTGCGCTCGCCAGACAGACAGAGAAAGACATAGAGACAGAAAGTGAGAAATCACCCCCCATGGGGGATGGTCACGCCGCAATTCCTTCTCCATTCTCCTCTCGGGACCTTGGGCACGCACGCACACGCGCCCGGCGTGAGTTTTAAGCCACCGGGTCCAGGACGCAAACCACGGTCGACTACGTGGGAGTCCAGTGACATAGCCATTACGCTAACTGCTGGTTCCCTCGTTTTGCGTATTTTTAATCTTCACCTGGGGTTAGGTGGTATCTCATTGTGGTTTTAATCTGCATCTCCCTTATCATGAGGGATGTTGAGCATTTCCTCATATGTTTTCTGGCTGTTCATATGTCTTCCTTAGAGAGATACTTGTTTAGCTCATTTTCTCATCTTTTAATTGAGTTGATTTTTTTTTCAGGTAAGCCGCTTGAGTTCTCTGTGTATTCTGGTTATCAGTCCCTTGTCTGAGGCATAGTTTACAAAAATATTCTCCCATTCAGAAGGTTTTTAATTCACACTAATTACTATATCTTTTGCTGTGCAGAAACTTCTTAATCTGATATAGTCCAACTTATCTATTTTAGGGATTATTGCCTGTGCTTTGAGAGTCTTATTTAAGAAGTCTTTGCCTACTTCAATGTCTCCCAAAATTTCTCCAGTGTTTTCAACCAGTAGTTTTATAGTTTGAGGTCTTAGGTTCAGATCTTTGATCTTTTTTTTTTTTTTTTTTTTTAGAGGTTTTCTCTATAAGGCGCATGCACTCGCCAGACAGATGGAGAGAGACATAGAGACAGAGACAGAAAGCGAGAAATCACCCCCCAGAGGGGATGGTCACGCCACAATCCCTTCTCCTCCATTCTCCTCTTGGGATTGAGCACACACACACACGCCCAGCGTGAGTTTTAAGCCACCGGGTCTGGGACGTGAACCACGGTCGACTACGTGGGAGTCCAGCAACATAGCCATTACGCTAACTGCTGGTCCCAGATCTTTTATCTATTTTGAGTTGATTTTTGTTAATGGTGGAAGATGGGGATCCAGTTTCATCTTTCTGCAGGTGGATACACAGTTTTTCCAGTACCATTTGCTAATGAGGTTTTCCTTTTCCCACTGAATTGACCAGTATCCTTTGTCAAAAATCAGTTAGCTGTAAGTATTGGGGTTTATTTCTGGGGTCTCTATTATAATCATTGGTCCACCTGTCTGTTTTTGTGCCAGACCATGCTGTTTTAATTATCATAGCTTTATAGTGTATTTTAGAATCAGGGAGTGAGATGCCACCCACTCCACTCTTCTTGAGCAGGATTGCTTTGGCAATACTAGGTCTCTTTTTATTCCAGACACAATCTATGATTGTCTTTTCTAGATCTGTGAAGAATGTCTCTGGTATTTTGGTTGGAATTGCTTTAAATATGTGAATTAATTTGGGTAGAATTGTCATTTTGATTATATTAGTTCTTCTAATCCAGGAACATGGGATGTCCTTCCCCTTTTTTGTGTCATGTTCAATGTCTTTTTAAAGATTTTCATAGTTTTCTTTGTAAAGGCCTTTGACTACATTAGTTAGGTTTATCCCTAGGTATCTTATACATATCGTGGCTATGGTGAAAGAAATTCCTTTGTTCAGATCTACCTCATTCAAATTGCTGTTTGTATATAGAAATGTTATAGATTTTTGGATGTTGATTTTATATCTGGACACTTTACTGTACTCATTTATTACTTCGGGAAGTATTTTCATGGAAACCTTTGTGTCTTCCTTACAGAATATTTTTAAAGGCATTATTTTCTTTGTACCATTTATACAACAACCAAGTGTATATATGAAAAGTGAAAAGATCAACTTTAGTATAATTAATGTCCCAGTCACTGGTGAACATCTGCTTTAATTAATATTTATTGTAACTAAGTAAATATGTGTTTTTTCTCATAGGTAACCAACAGGTAAATAGGTATTCCCTTGACAGAATTCAGCACCTCTGTCTATTATATTTAGATAATTAATGAATAGAACAACTTAAGAGTCCCATTCTCAGTTTGACACCAGTGATGTCTGAATGAATGCAGTTTTATGCCAATGAATAATTCTGTGTATTTCTAAATTAGCACTGCACAAGCAGTAATTCATGGACCTCTGGATAAAGAGTCACAATGATGTCTAGTGTTCCTTTTCAGAATCATCTCTCCTGACATGGAAGAAAAGTGGAGGCAGGTTTGCCCTTGCAGAAATTTCCTTCAACAGTAGAACAAGAGGGTAAGTTGACACCAGGGTATGGTAGGTTGCTGCAAAAGTCATGACATATTTTGAAACAGAAAAAACATGACATAGCAATCAAATACTGCCTTTTGTAAAAGAAAGGAGAGGTACTAGAAATATAAGCTTCACTTTAAGTAACAATGACTTTCTTAGGGTATCATCGTAGGGCATTTCAAAGGATGCTATACACATCCTTGCCCTAAAAACTTTTATGGGAATCATTTGACATAATTTTAAATGGTTAATTTTTTTTTTTTATAAAAGGCACAAAACCCAGTAGTTTCATCATTCTCTTCTTATACTGTTGGATTCCACTTTCTTAGCCTAGAATTAGCTGTACTCTTGCTCAATAAAAGATGTTGTTTTGTGGCATTACTCATTTTTTCTTTTTCCCTAGAGAATTAAACAGCATCTTCTCAGACCTGAGTCACCTACCCGAACTTTCTCATGGAAAGGAGAACTAAACTCATTGAATGGTAGATACCATGTGCCAAGCAATGTAGTAAATGCTTTATCTGCTTATCTAATTTACGTCTCACAACCGCCCAGGTAGGCAAGTATCTGTTTTATAGATGACCAAAATTAATATTCAGGAAGTCAAAGCCCTTGGCTCAGAGCACACTTGCTGGTAAATGATAAAACTGGCCTGACCTGGCCAACCCTGAAGACTCATAACCTATGTAATCTATAATCTACTATAAACCTCACCCGGTAAAGGACCATTTCCTGTAAGAAATGACTACCATCCATTTTCCTTATCATTTAAGCAAGTACTTTCTTCTTCTTTGAAATAATGCCTCACTTACTATCTAAGTTTTTGAAGAAAAATGAAGACAAGAAAATATCAGAGAATACATTGCCCTTCCAACACCCTGCTTGGCATCCATCCCCTGCCACAGAGGGCCTCTGTCCCCATAAGTCACCCATATGGGAGAAATAACCAAGAAAGAGGCAAGGACTGGGCCTTACTGGTGAAGACACCAGGAAGCTGTACCTGACTTAACATCTCACGTTGACCACCCATTAGCAGATGGCACCCAGGAACAAAGCCTGACACAACACAGGACATGGACTAATATGCTGGTTAGCCTTTCTTGCCCAACTGTGAAGGCAGGGAAGAGGTCTCACTTTCTTTAAATCTCATTCTACTTCTTTAAACAAAGGTTTATTTTCTGTGTTCCTCCCCCTTTTCACCCTGCCAGTTGTGCCCCAGACAGTCCTAAGAATCCCGAAGACTAAATCTTGTTCTCTGAAAAGTAGATTGAATGCTCAGCTTTTGAAAAGCACATCTGAGAGATGACTGCTTTGTGAGAATGAGATTCCAACCCCAATTGCTAGAACACAAGAATGTCAGAGCATCTTAAGGCTAGGTATTTTTATATGTTAACCACAAAAAAAGGGGGAGTAATACTTGTTTCAACATCAGAAACAATCTTTTCTTTAATTCCACTACCAAGCTTGATAAAACCAAAGCCATGTCACCAAATGAATTTATAAAATATAGACTAATGAAAAGAAACTGTAAAAGAAAGAAATCAAGCTCTGGAAACAAAACTTGTCACACCACAAATAAAGGTCCCTTCCCAGCAATGCTACATAGCCCATCTCAAGAAATACATTTGTCTTACAATTTCTTACATACCTCCCCAACTTACTTTGTATTCTTGAATAAATATGTTATTGACATCATTAATACATGTTAACTCTTACCTTTCTGTGAGTAACAAAATGGTGGTTAGAAGTTTTTTCCTTCCATTCGATTGTCAAGGCTCTCACTGTGACTTGAGTACGTCGCCGAGGGCACTCCCTCTGCACTGCTCTGCCTCCCAGTCTCTCCCTTCACCCTCAGTCAAACATTAACCACTAACATTTTTTATTGTCTTTGGGAACTACCAAGTATCATAAAAGGTATTATTATAGTCACTCCAGGAAAAAAGTGAGTTTATAGCTAATGAAGTTTTTTAGTTTTGGGGGGGTTTTATTGAGGGAATTTTTGCTATAGGGTGTGTGCCCTTGCCAGAGAGACAGAGAGAGACAGAAAGTAAGAAATCACCCCCCCCAGTGGGGGATGGCCACCCCGCAATCCCTTCTCCTCCATTCTCCTCTCGGCATCTAGAGCATGCATGCACACGTACCTGGCGTGAGTTTAAGCCATTGGGTCCGGGAATTGAACTGCAGTCGACTACATGGGAGTCCAGCAACATAGCAATTACGCCAAGTGCTGGTCCCTGTAGCTAATGAAGTGTAATCCATGTCTAATATATCTTGACACAGGTTGCTGAGTTTTTGTGTGTTTTTTTCTTTGTTTGTTTTGTTTTGTTTTAAATGTAGACAAGAAAACTGAAAGAAAAGGTGTTGGTCTCATAGTCTAGTGGTTAAGGGAGCTGGATCCCACACAGCTGACTACAGTTCAAGTCCTGGACCTGGCAACTTGAAGATCAAATGCAGGTGCATGTGCTGTGTGTCCAAAATCCTGAGAGGGAGACAGAGGAAAAGGGATTATGGATGGCCATTCCTTCTGAGGAGTGATTTCTTACTTTCCCTCTCTCTGTATCTCTCTCTGGCAAGCACATGTGCCCTATCGCACACATACATGGGTGCATGTATGTGCATCTCCCAAATCCTGACAGGATAGAGATATGGAAGAAAAAGGATTGTGGCATGATCACAGCCCACTGGGGAGTACTTTCTCTCCCTCTCTGTCTCCCTCTCTAGCAAGCATATGTACCCTTAGCCAATTAAAAAAAAAGCTGGAAGATAAGGAAAAGTTAGAGTGGAAAACTATTTTGGGAATCCAGCTCTCTCTCAAATATGAGCTCCACAACATCAAAGACAGGGTTTTGTTCATATTTTGCACCCCGACAACTTAGCATAGTGTCTGCATAGGAGACCCAGTGACAAATATTTGCATAAGCTTCATCTTAAACACAAGACAGAGAGCACAGGGTGCCAAGTCTGAGCAGTGATGCAATTCATTGATAACTGGCCCCGAGAAACATCATAAATGACTCAGAAGGCCTGAACAAAGACACAACCTGGCAGCACCTGCTTCTGAAATTCGAAGGTCCTCTTCAGAGTCTGCATCTAGTAACCAATATAGTAAGCTTTCCTCAAAACACAAACCAAGTTATTTTCTTTCCCCTACAATATTAGAGAGTGGGGCAAGTTATTTTTTCCACTCAAAACATGGTTTCCAGACTAGCCAGTGTTGTGGTGTTTAAGGCAACTAACTGAATCTTACATGACTGGTAGTGTGGTTCAAGTCCCAGACCCAGAGGCTTCATAAACATGCCAGGTGCATGTACATGAATGCTCAAAATCCCAGAGAAGAGAGGTCAATGAGAAGGGTGCTCCCCTCTCTCTCTTTCTCTCTCTCTCTCCCCCTCCCTCCCTCTCTTAGTCTCTCTGGTGAGCGGCATATGCTCTCTGTCAAAACTGAAAAAACAGTTATTGTGGTTTCTGATTAACCAAGAAAAGCCAATACTTACAGATCTCTTAAGTTCAAGATCTCTTTTAGACTGATTCTTGATTGCCACACTTCATTCTGGAAATCATACTGAAGATGAGAATCAATGTCATTTTCATGTCAAGTGCATCAATTTTGCCCTATTTCTGTGGACTCTCTGATGACCATTTCTGGGTATCTAAGCTGAGCTGTTTTCCACTCATCTCAAACTGTGCATCTAACACAGTGAAAGCATGTGCGCCCAGCCACTCTCTCACCGGGCTCTCTCCTACCCAGATGACGTGAGAAATCATTCTGAGTGCTCACAGCCACTGGTGAAAATAGACCTCATTTCTCTTGGAAACCCTGAAATTGAACTATCTGGTCACACGCTAGTGGTTAGCATCCCTTGGTAGGACAGCAGGCCAGCAGGGGCCCTTCTTCCTTTGTCACATAGCCAACACCACAATGTTTAGGGAACTGAGTTAGTGAGGCTAACCACTTCTCAAATTCTTAATACCTCTGCTCTCCCAGTAGCTCAATAAAATGACCTTATTCTACAAAATCAAATCACTTCCATTTGCTATTTCACTTTCTAGAATCAATGCCAAGTATCTCATCATATGGCATTGCTATGAAAGAAGTGTTGTTCTTCAAAAATGTTTTAATAGTATACTAAAAAGTGGTTGTTGGGACTAGAAGTTAGCGTAATGGCTATGTCACTGAACTCCCATGTAGTCAACCTGGACCCGGTGGCTTAAATTCATGCCGGGCACGTGTGCGTGCATGCCCAAGATCCCAAGAGGAGAATGGAGGAGAAGAGACTGCAGTGTGGCCATCCCCCATGGGGGGTGATTTCTCACTTTCTGTCTCTCTGTCTCTCTCTGTATTTCTGGCAAGCGCATGTGCCCTATAGCAAAAACCTCTCCAAAAAAAGAAAAAAAAATATTTTCAAAAAGTGGTTGTTTGTTTTTAATCTGCTAGGGGGCCTATGTGCTCATCAGAGGAGGTGGGGAACATACACCCCAATGGAGCATGGTCACACTGCAATCCCTCCCTCCTGCTTCATTTCCCCATCCTGTTGGGATTTGGGGCACACATGCATACACACACACACACACACCCAGCATGTTCTTCAGGCTACTGGGGCCAGGACTTGAACCATGGTCAGCCCTGTGGTATCCAATTCCCTTAACCACGCGACTGCTGGGTCAGCCCTAAAAAGTACTTTATGTCTGTAAGTTTTTAAAAAGAGAAAGTGCATATGTGTATCATTTTTAGTTATTGTCTTACAGCAACATTACGCAATCATGTTCATAGCACATTAGAGTTTCAGTGTAAAAATAAGTTTTCTCATTTAATATTTATATGCCTATGAAGTAATTTCAGCTTATAGATAGAAAACAGAGGCACAGAGACATTTTACCTCTTGCCCAAGTTGCACAGCCTGCCACTAAAGAACTGGGACTCCATCCATTCCTGGTCTATCTGCTTCAGAGCCCAACCTATTAGCTACAACTGTACAACTTGCCCAATTATTTTCCCTCCAGCTCCATGTGAGCAATAAAATATTCATAGGAAGAAATCCCTGTATGTGAGCCCATTCTGGTAGGGAGATGACCGAGTTCCTGCATCGGATTTCTCTGTATATTTTATGATACCTCTAGCTTCTAACTCAGAGAATCAGGTGAATTAATTCTGAATAGGCCAACATCACCCATGAGAGAAATTGACAGGTGACTGCAACTCTGAATCATAGAAACCTTTTCTGTAGTCCCTGGGAAAACAAGTTTATATAGTTTTGAGAGCTATTTGTACAACAGTTATGTCCTTTTTACATTCTTCCTTATCAAATCCAAAGAAGATCATGCATGCTTCAGAATGAACACCATTGCATTTTAGGAACCCATTTTCATGTGAAAGTGAGACATTTCTAGTCAACCGACTAATATTGATCAGTAATAACAATAAGAAGAATAAGGAAAATGTAACTGATAAATATTACTGACTCAATTTTTCAGAGCAAAGGAGAGGTGACTTACATGACAGAAACAAGTGAACAATAAAAAGGACTTGAGTAGAAACCAGGTGGTGGTGCAGTGGGAATGCACCTGGACACACATGGGAAGGGCCTGGGTTTGCATCCTGGAACCTCTCTGAGCACCTCTCTGGGCATTAGCACGCATCTTTGAACAGGTCAACTGAAACTAGGGGAGAATTACGGTGAAGATGCTAGTGTGCCCCTCCATCTCTCCCTCTCTCTACACACCCTTCTCTCATTCTCTGTCAGGAGAAATAAAACTGGAGACTGGAAAACATAAAAGTATTGAAAACTGTGATGGACACTATAGACAAAGTAGAAAGAGAATATGGGAGGGGAAGGAGCGTAGGAAAGGAAATGGGGGGGGAATGGAGAGGTAAAACACTTGTAGGATACAGATAAGGTTTATTATCTGTTGATGAGGATGTGTATAATAGTCTCAACTGGGCTGGACCAAAGTGTAAATTATGCTGGGTAAAGCATCTTCACAATCTAAATGATGTATAGTGATTTAATGTACGAATAATAAAATAAATAAGAATAAAAACCAAAAATATATAAAAAAAAGAAAGAGAACATTTTTTTAAAAAGGACTTGGACTGATAGTGTAATGGTACATTGCTGGACTCCCATGTAGTCGATCATGGTTTGAGTGTCAGACACAGTGACTTTAAATTCACACTGGGTGCATGTGCATGCATGCCCAAAATCCCTAGAGGAGAATGGAGGAGAAGGGATTGTGGCACAGTCATAAAGCCCTGGGCAGTAATATCTCGCTTTCTGCCTCGTTGTCTCTCTGGTGAGCTCAGCTCACACAGTCAATAGCGAAAATCTCTCTCAAAAAAAAAAAAAAAAAAAAAGACTTGGGCAAGTGCTTTTGACTAACAGCTTCATGAAATTGGAAACATTTCAGTACTTTTGTCTATGTTTGAACCATCCCTCAAATATCAGTCCTAGAGAATATAGAAGTAATTGATTTATAGACAATGCTAGTTAGAAAATAACAAAGTCTGGATAACCCCCTAGAGAGATATTTTATGAAAATTTGGAGTTATTCTTAAAATTCAAAGAATGCTACATTTCTAATATTTGTATTCTTTCCAATTTTAAATGGAATCTAATCATTTTTATGTACTTGCATTTTCATGTTTTACATATATTTATATGTGTTACATATATATTTTGAGAACATTTTGTCCTTAGTATAACAAAGACACTAGCCTCACCTTAAAAAAGTGCGTAACAATATTTTTAAATTACTTTATATCTGTCTCATTTTTAACTTACTGATGGCAGAAGCT